CTCCCTCAGTAGCTACAGGCAACCCATCTTTGATAATCCTGTCACTCCCTTTGGCTTGATTGTATTTTTGTTGACTGTATTTTTGTATGCCATTAATTATGACACATTTTAATAATTATATAATTTTCTTAGGAGCTGAAGTATCATTTAAAAGTATACCTGCTACGAGACCCACAGTGCAACCCACTGAATTAGGTAAATAAATTAAAATAGCCTATACCATATACATATCAGACATACAATACTATTTTTCAATAATAATGCAGTAACTGTAATTTTTCACTAGTATATACTGTATACCGGTTTACTTTTGCGGTGGAAAATTTTTGTGGTGGAAAATTTTCGCAAATTTTGCATTTCTAAGACTTTGCAGAATAAATTTTTGCGAATTGCCTGCAGAGTACAGACTGCACCACGTGGCAATGGAGAGTAGAATTTTGTGGTGAAAAATTTTCGCAAATGATCACCAAACCGCGAAATTCGCGAAAATATTTTATCACGAAAATAAACCGGTATATGGTACTACATGGTACTATATAGAATATTAATCATTATTTTTATAGATGAACTTAAAGGTGTACATGTTGCTGCAAAGAATTCATTCCTTATTCATGGTGGATCTATCCAGTCAGTTCATTGGGAGGAATATGGTATAAGGATAACAATACCACAAGGAGCAGTGCTACCCTCTGATACTGTACAGATCACCATCGCTGCTCTTGTAGGAGGAGATTTTATATTCCCAGAAGACACTGAGCTTGTTAGTGCAGTATATGCTATAAGCCTCTCCAAGTCTTTTGCTAAACCTGTTAAACTGGAGATACAGCACTGTGTCTCCATAGAAACAGTTTCTCATTGTAAATACCTTAGTTTTGCCACTGCTCCTAGTGATAAAGCACCTTATCAGTTTAAACTTGTGAATGGAGGAAATTTTGTACCTAATGGTGGCTATGGTAGCATTTATGTCTCTGAATTTTGTTTGTGGAGTCTAATACAATATGTACGTACAAGCATCTCATATCTCTCATCTCTAAGTAAGCACAATATATTTAAGCTATTTCGCTTCAATAATTATTTTATTAGCTAATAAATCATACTATGGCCAAGTGATGCGTGAGGAGAGGAGGCCAGGAAGGGAATGGTTAATAAAGTTTTTACTCTGTAAAGATCTTAATGCACTAAAGGAGGTATGCAATTAATACATAGTTTTGTGTATGTGGAAATACAATTTTACAGCATATTAACAAAGAATTCAAGAATAATGAAAAAACTAATGATCTATGTTTTTTATTTGAAGAGGATAATGGATACCCTGGCATTGAGTTTTGCTTTGATAAACCATGTCCTAATGGTTGGTCAGTTAAACCTTATGACACTCCAATAAAAGTGAGCTCTTAAATTAAGTGTATTATATTGTTGCAATAGGTTAGTCAAAGTGAAATTGATAACTATGGCAGCATGTCTCCTCCTAACTTTCCACAACGCTTAATTGAAATCGTAGCTAAACCTGGTGAAGGTGCAGATGGATTGAATCATCCTGTAACAATGAGAGGAATTAAATCTGATATTAAGAAATTAAACATTGTATTAACAACTGGTGAGCATCATTAAGTAATTATTAGTCAGTTTATAATATTTTTTTACATGCAGTCAACACTGTGATTCAGCAATCACTTACCCCAAGTTTTGGTATGTTGTATTTGACTTTCTAATTCAGTGTTTGTGTTTTTTTTTAAATTTTAATAGATCCAGTGGACAGCCCTGCCATCAATCAGAGACAACTATTAAGTAAGTGACTATAATTTTTATAATTTATTTATTATTATTTTCATGTAGATACCAGTCATCTTGTTGACATACTTGATATACTAAAGAAGCATGGATATTCTGGTGTCAGTTATTATTACCTTGGTCTTTGTCTGGGTCTGCTCCCTCGTACACTTAATGTTATTGAGAACGAACGTGGAGATATTAGTAGTCACTTCAGACTTTGTTTAGAAAAATGGCTGCAACAAGCTGATGATGTAAAGAGTAAAGGTGGTCCAACTTATGATACATTAATACAAGCATTGAGGAAGATGGGAGAGAATGCTGTAGCTGATGGGATTGAAAGAGATATCAATAGTAAGGAATGAGTTTAATACATATCATGTTATTTGATTGTTTCTATCTCTTATAATGCATGTTGATGCACTTATGCTGTATGGAAAGTTTAAACTGATTCCGACAAAAAATTTTTGAGTTATGAGCATTTTAGAAAACGAGCCAATTTTAGTCATTTTTCAGAAAAACCATGGACTTTCTGAAAAATGGCTAAAGAATGACCCCCAATTTTTATTCCATTTTCTGATACATATTGATGGCCTTATGCTGTGTAGAAAGTTTGAGCCGATTCCGACAAATAATTTTTGAGTTATGACCATTTTAACAATTCAAGACATCATTGACTCCAATAAAGCTACGTATGTTATATGCATAGTGTGTACTCCATCTTCCTCCTCTCCTTTCTCCTATTATCATCTCACTATCTCTTCTTTTTCTATCACAGATTAGTTCAAATTATAGTCAGACTCTCCCCTGGTCAGGGGTTGGGTCTCAGTATCGTTGGTGGGCGTGGCTCTCCCACTGGGGACGTACCCATTTACGTAAAGAGGATCCTACCTGAGTCAGTGTTACAGAAAGACTCAAAGATAAAGACTGGAGATGAACTGGTAGCAGTTAATGATTTAATAATACATAATGTAACTAAGGACTATGCTACTGAAGCTCTTACTAATGTACAGGGAACAGTGAGACTACTACTGATACAGGACCTATGAATGAGGATGATATCTGGAGACTGGATTGAATAAATGAATCTACTGATTGGTCTCTCTCTTTCAGTCTCTTGCTCTTTCTGTATTTCTTCTTTTATTGTTGTTTTATTTCTTGTTTTTTGTCTGTTACTTTCAGTATGTGTTTTTTGCTTTACTTAAAAACCATTATCTACTGACTATAAATGATGAGATTCATCTCTGAATATCTATGCTCTGAGCCTAGTCACGTGATTTGTTTGCAGCAGAGATTTGAATTCCAAGTTCAAATATGGCAACTCCTTTCCAGCCACTACTAGGTTAGTTACTGTATATTGAGTCTGCTATGATCCATTAATGAATTATTACTTCCATTTTCTATAGGAATCCGTGATCTTGCTGAGATACTTGATTTACTAGAGAGGCATCGTTATTCTGGTGTCAGTTACATGAGTTATAAGCGGCTTGGTCTTTCTCTGGGTCTGAATCGTAGTACGCTTGAGAGTATTGAGTCTAATTACAGAGGAGATGTTAGTAGATGTCTAACAGAGTGCTTGGTGGCATGGTTGAGACGAGAAGGTAGTGTTGGTGTTCCAACTTATGATACATTAATAAAAGCATTGAGGGATGAAGGAGAGTATGCTGTAGCTGATGGGATTGATAGAGAAAGTAAGGAATTAGTTAATTCATTCCAATTAGACTCATTGTGTCTCATTCCCTGCAATTTTAATTTATTGCCGGCAATAAAATAATTTTATCAGCATAATCAGCCCCCTGATTATGATTTCAGCATTTTCCAGTGCTTTAAGGAGCAATCAGAAGTACCAGTAACATGGCAGTATGCTTGAAATGATCTTGGCCCTACCCGTAGTTGACGAAAATGCAGGATAAGGCCGTTTTTAGGAGGGTGTGGCCAAAATCGTGGCGCGCTTCGTGCGCCCTCAGCACCCTCCTTTCTAAATTCTTAGATACACCCCTGATAATGAATAATACAATATAAGTAGAGTGGCAAGGTTTTGCAGTTTAAAATATCTCTGCTTTTACTTTTGTACTGTTTGTTATGATTTATTTACACAAGTTTGTATTATAATTACCTATTTGCACCACTTAGCAGATGAGTTATTTTTGTTACAAAATGTGAATGAAATGAATGTACCGTATTTACTCAATTAAACGCCCGGGTGTTTATTTCTTAACA